GTGAGACGCCATGTTGAGCTTTTAAGCGTCCATCTTTCAAAACAGATTTCAGAAGTAAGAAGTAGTAAGCGGTGTAGAACTTTCAAACTTTCAATATTTCAAAACTAAAGTTTGATAGATGAATTGTCAAATTTTATGTGTGCATCCTGCCACTGATGAAATAGAAGACGTATCAAGGCATCCTTTTAAGTAGAGTGGATCTGAGGATCTGGCAGTTGCCAAGCCATCAGTACATATCGATGACTCACAGCCAGTCCGCTGACTTTGGCCATATACGCCTTAACCCAGAGACGACGGCACATGATGTTCCATTCTGGACTGAGGTAACACCGGCCATCTCCAGCACCGCCATCTGCTGACCTGAGTACATGGCTGTTATGTAGATCTAAAACGTCTATAACTAAAAGAAATGTGGCGAGAGCTATTGTGTTGATGTCTATTCCGTCCACATGCTAACGTTGGTACTTTCACATCTGTGTTATGTTTGTTCATCTCCATGTTTATCTGGCCTTTGTCCACGCTATGTTATCTATATAACTACGTTCTACTCAGTCAGTACTCGAGTGCTTTATAAACATACTTACTTTAATAGTAACTATATCGGTATGTCGAAATAAACAAATAACTTTTGTAATCCAGAGATCAATTCTGTCTTCAATATTATTTTATTGTCATACATTTGACTGCGGAAAATTGAAACTGAAATGGAAAATGAAGTTTTAGAAATGGAGAAGTAAGAAACCCACTCTTATGCCATTACAGGTCGCAGGTAGGAAAGGACGTCATGGATAAGGAACAATAGGTGGCACGTCAGGTTCTGAAATAACATGTAGTGAAGAGCCAATGAGAAAAGACACGCCGGTATAAGACTTTCTGATTGGACAGTTTGATGAGTGGTAGAACAGATACTGTTGGGAATTCTCAAGTCTATATTTAGCCACCGGCTCATATCTCTTCTGTGTGCACCTGTAGACGTGTGTGGGGTAGATATTGCTGATTGCCTGAATCTAGGTGATATACATTTAGAACCGACACGCTGCACTACAGCCACAATCTACACAATTGACCACAACACAGCCACCGACATGTTGCGTTACAAACATGCATACTGCCTTGTCTACCGGGCTTGAAATATGTTTGTTTGTTTGTCTGTTGTTCAGTAATCAGTCAGTTATGGGCAGGTATTTGGGGTTAGTTCGTTGATTACGTAGTCTCTTTTCGGATAAAAGCATGAGGTGAATTGTCCGAGGAAGAACCTGGATTTCCCACAAGATTGCTGTCAAAACGTGCACGTGACACATTGACATGACACAGGCGAGGTGGGACTATTTTTGAAGGGGCGGTCGGGTAGCCCAGTGGTTAAAGCGTTCGCTCGTCACGCCGAAGACCCGGGTTCGATTCCCGACATGGGTACAGTGTGTGAAGCCCATTTCTGGTGTCCCCCGCCGTGATATTGCTGGAATATTGCTAAAAGCGGCGTAAAACCATACTCACTCACTCACTATATTTAAACTCTTACCTCACCGAGGTGTACTAATTGATACTGAGAGAATGGACAACCGGGATACTATTGTAAAGAAGCATGTTTAATGCAGATGTAATTTCTACTAGATTCGGATCGCTACTTTCATGAAGAGAAACCATTATCTTTTCGTGTCATCTTGTGAACATGTGTGTCTCCCTGCCTCAAAACACCTTCTTTATACTGATAGACATTGTGGAAAGTCATATCCTTAACAACAACACAATTGTTTAAGATTCAAATGGATTCATTGCCTTGATTAATGTTTCATTTTACATTGCTTGCAACGAATCGAGGTGAAAATTCATTCAAAGCTGTTTAGTATAACGAACACGGTTATAACGAATTAAAATTAGTGGTCCCTTTTGTTTGTTATAACCGTAGTTTATCGTATATCGAAACGTCGAAATAAAAGAATAACTTTTGAAATTCAGAGATCTATTCTGTCTTTAATTTTATTCAATTATCAATTGCTTTTGGGAGACTTTACAGTGTGTTCTTGACAATCTAAATATTGTGATTTAAACAGACACGTAAGCAACTTTCGACACGTCATTATAGAGACATTAAATATGTGACATCGTGCACAAGGGACAATAGGTGGTACGTCAGGTTCTGAAATATAAATATATAAAATATAACTATAACAGCCAATGAGAGAAACACACGACGGTATAGGAAATGCTGATTGGACAGTTTGGAGACAGGTAGAACCAATACTGTTGGGAATCCCCAAGTCTATATTTAGCCACCGACCCATATCTCTTGTGTGTGCACCTGTAGACGTGAGTAGACTTCATGTCGCTGTTGGCGGAATATAATCTAGGTGACATGACAACGACAGCAACGAACATGCAATGTCACAAACATGTGTTTTATTGTGAAATTCATGTTTCTGTCACTTACCACTATCATGTTCTTTACACTACTTATAGTTAAGTGTAACCACCTCACAAACAAACCACGTCTTCAGGTAGGCGTATAGTGTATTTAGCGGCCCGTGTAACGGCTAAAGGGGGGCGTGTGGTATGGCACTCTCAATATTCCCCTGTTGGAGGTTGATAGCTGAGTGGGTAAAACGTTCGCTAGTTGAGCCGAACACGTATCAAGTAGGTAATATTTTACCTACATTCTTCAGAAATGTACTCCTGTGTTGTAAATATATACTTAATACACGTTTGTTTGTTTATTAACGCCGCACTCAGCAATAGTCCAGCTATATGACGGCGGTCTGTAAATAATCGAATCTGGGCCAGACAATCCAGTGATTGACATCATGACCATCGATCCACGAAATTTGGATACGATGACATGCATCAACCAAGTCAGCGAGCCTGACCACCTGACCCTGTTAGTCGCCTTTTACGACAATCATAGTCGCCTTTTACGGTATGCATGGGTTGCTGAAGACCTATTTTACCCCGGACCTCCACTGGTCACTTAATACACGTAGCCGCCCGCCTGCTGAAGATTGCAGACCGCTTTATCAAGAAAATAGTTATGATAATCGCTACCCTGGAACGTTGTCATGTAACCCACACGGTTGAAAGAGATAAGATCCGGATCTGTGTGGCTGTCACGTCTACTTTTAGCCTCACGTATATTGCAGTATGTCAACGACCTACATTATGTTTAGTAGTAGTAGTAGTAGTAGTAGTGGGGGTGGTGGTAGTAGTAGTAGTAGTAGTAGTAGTAGTAGTGGTAGTAGTTGTAGTAGTAGTAGAAGTAGTAGTAGTAGTAGTAGTAGTAGTAGTAGCAGTAGTGGTAGTAGTTGTAGTAGTAGTAGTAGAAGTAGTAGTTGTAACAATTGCTCTGGGATCAAAGATTGAAGTTGTTTCATTAAGTGTGTCGTAACTCCGACTATATCATGAGCATGTTTTCATGAATCACTTTCAAATTGTGATGATATCAGGTGCTCGCAAAAAGGTGATCGTATCCTGCCCCACCGTGGCACCCGTCACAAACACATGCAAAGGCAAGTGATTTGTTCACATGAAAAAGAACACGGGAACATATGGTACACGTCAAAATAAGGAATTGCATCGGACTTCATATTGTCACTCATGCGTCAAATTTGGAAATGTCCTCCACATGTGGTCCATAAAACTTTTTAAAAACTTAACCGAGGCCTTGAATGTTGTAACCTTGATCAAACAACTTCTGAGCTAGAGTCGTATGGCGCTCTTTTTAATCTTGATGGAAAGAGCATGCTCGATTGTATCTCAAAAGTTGTGAAATGTAAACACCAAAGGCTGGAGCTGCTTGAATAGTGCTCGACATATAGGGAAGCGTAAAAACAACCCAAGGGTCAATCTAAGGTTACTTGGGGACCGGTTCTTAAGCAAATCACCATGGCAACGTGAGAAAAACGAATGAATGCATACATTTACTTGTTTCATTTATTTGTTATTCAACTTTCAAAGAACAAACATAATGTTAATACTAAATAAACAGAATTGCAGTAGTATACCTTTCGCAGCACACAGTAAAAAGGTGTACGATTCAACACAACACTGAACTGCTTGAGGTTTTAAAAAGCACAGACACATGTACACTGAAACCCCGTTAACCCGCACACTGCCGCTCCCAGTGATATAAGTAGGGTTCCTGGATTAACGACGTTTCAAACCAGTCCTACCTCAAGTAGATGTACATAAAGTAATCATGAATACGTAAACACTAAACATATTATTAGAACATTTAAATAACACCGACAAATACAGATAAATATATTAAATATAATGCAATTGGCATTTCTACAACTGTGACTATATGAAATTGTAGTTCTCATATTCAGTGTGTAGTTGACTATTGTACAACTCTGGCTAGAAGGAGTGAGCCTCAAAACAGAATATTCGTCATTGTCAATAACATCAGGATTCCACATTAAAGTCCAATATCACAGTCAAGACAAGTAGTGGATCCTTCACATCAAACAAGGCAGTTATTTTGTTTGTTTTCACGCCATCTTAATTCCATGGCTCATTCATACCTAAAGTATATCTAAATATTAAAACATACATAAAGATTGGGAACAAACCGAAAATGTATAAGTAGATGTATACATCATAGCTAAATGCATTGAATTAAAATATTCCGGAAAACATTTCTAAAACTGGATATGAAATTGAATTTCATACTATGAGTGTGTAGGTTAAAGTTTGTAAACACTGGCACATTGAAGACGATTACTCATCATTGTCCACATCAATGTCCTGTACCAAACAAGTGAGTGAGTGAGTATGGTTTTACGCCGCTTTTAGCAATATTCCAGCAATATCACGGCGGGGGACACCAGAAATGGGCTTCACACATTGTACCCATGTCGGGAATCGAACCCGGGTCTTCGGCGTGACGAGCGAACGCTTTAACCACTAGGCTACCCGACCGCCCCTTGTACCAAACAAGACAAGAGCTTGATAGTTCTGTATGACATGTCCAGGAGCTCCTCGGCTGTGTAGGATGTAGGGTAATGTGT